AGGAAACCAGATGGGATAAAGCTCTGTGGCCAAAAAGGAGGAGTAAATCAGGATTGGCCCAACAGTAGGGGTCAAACATGAGCGGATTAGAAGTCTGTCTCAACAAAATTGGATAGGAATCTGTGGCCCATCAGGAGAAATACAACAGAAAGAGTAAACACAAGGGGCTACAGCTCTGGCCTAACAGAATGGGATAAAGACCTGTGGCTTTATAGGAAGAATAGAATAGAATTGAATAAAGATTTATAGCCCAACAGGGCTCGGTACTAGGGGGAATTTATTACTCTTAGTCTATCTTCTATCCTTTGATGATATAAATGGGTTTACCCAACATATTTAACTGCCTTTCAATCAATTAGCACCAGCAGTCATCCACACCAGCACCACCACCACACTCCACCAGTCATCCACACTCCAGCAGTCATCCACTTGGATAATATTTTGTCTTAGAAAATGATGACAAAACCTATTTTATATTTTGGGGGAAACTGATACTAAAAAATCATAAAACAACACAGAAAATATACATTCTTTCCCTAGAATTAAATATTTTGTCGTGTTCTACAAGAAAAAATATATACAATCTGAGAAACAAAAAATTACAAAATCTGTTTTATCACCAATTTTCTAATTCAAAATTTTATCCAAATAACTTAATACCAGATTACAAACGTTTCCAGTACAGTAAATACAAAAAAGTAGACATTATCTTCTAATACTGTATTCATTTGTAATTACCTCATACGCTCAGGAATATTGGAAGATATTCGTGTGCTGTAGCCAGAGTGTGCTAGTGGAGGCTAGTAGATTAGCCTGGCATCTCATGTTCTCTCCTGATTCCATGTATGACTAACCATCCTGTAAGATAGGGATATTAGATGAACTTATAGCTGATTTTTATCTACACCGTCTTTCATATAGAATAGGGGGTAGCAATACATTGCTGTGTATTATATATAATACACAGCAATGTGTATTATATATATAATACAATGTGTATTATATATATAATACATTGCTGTGTATTATATATACTGTATATAATACACAGCAATGTATTATTAAGCTTGTTAATAACAACAAATAATAAAAAGCATTCTCACCAAGGACTTCCATGTCTTTTCATTGTAAAATAATTAGTAATTAATTATCAAAAGATGTAAAATAGAGAAGCAAATAAAAAATTTCCCTATTCTTCTAAAAATATGCATTTTTCTTACAATGTATAATCTTTTTACAGGAAAGCTAATTATAATACAATTACAGTAGTATTTCTTTTTTTTTTGCTTTAACAGCTTCGACAAATTTTAACTCATCAATGCAAAATTGTGACTTAGTTACGGAAAACAGCCAAAATGGTCCCTGTATACAAGAAGGGGAGAAGGAAGGTAAGGTAACTATCAAGAGAAAGGGTTTAATATGACATACAGCCCTTAGAAGGGATATAAGAATAAGGAACTGGGATAAGAGAGTCAGGAGGTAAAGAACAATGCCCAGCCACTTGAACAAGAAGGAAACAACTCAAGAACCGCTGAACTACAGACCAGTCACTTACAAGTATCCATTGAATAGTGTTCAAGACACAAATTAGCAACAAAGTCATGGAACATCAATTTTTTTTTTACTGCCAACATAGGTTCTGTAAAGGGAGTCAAGTCTGACAAACCAGTCTTTTTAATAAGATGACAGCAGTAAAGCAGATGGTGTTTTTTTTTTATTATTATTTTCTACCACAAACGTGGCCACATTTACAATGCTAACTAGCATATATACATTTTCTTCTGTCCTCCATGGACAGGGTTAGAGATGTGTTAAACATATAGTTCAGGGGTTTATTGAACAATCAACCACAGAAAGTGATTTGGTGCTTTTAAAATGCTAAGCTAACCTACATACGTAAATACATAGATACACAGATTTACGTATGCCCTACATAAAGTGTTCGATGTGTCTTTTACATAGTGTCATTAATGTGCAAGCAGATGGGTGGTGGTGTGGTAAAGTGTTTTCCTCAAATTTAAAAGATAACAAACGTCAAACAGAACATGGAAATGTAATAGGCTAAGTTTTCCTCAGATGTGACAGATATTTAAGCAAAACAAAGAGTGGTCAGTGGTGAGGGTTTGAGAGTAGAGAAACACAAGGACATCTATATTAGAACTTTTCCTGCTCTTAATAAATGTTAAGAACATGATGGAGGAGATAAACTCTTTCACATCTACATTTGTGGACGATGCAAAGTTAATGAGAAGGATCAAGACCAAGGAAGAACGAGGCTAAAGAAACACCCATTATATTGAACACTATTTATTATTTATAAGTTTATAGTGAACTCCTGGTAGTTCTCTCAGCTTCTGTGCAGCTTGCTCAGCTGTTAAGTCACGTTGGGCCTGGGCCAACATCTCGTAGCCCACCATGAACTTTTTAACAGTGGCTGAGCGAAGCAGAGGTGGGTAATAACAACCATGGAATACCCAGTGCTTCTCATCCTCCTCCAGGTGAGGACCAGTAGGTGCCCCTAAAAAATAAACAGAAAATAGTTAGAGGCATGGTCAGTAACAACTGTTGAAAATTAAACACAACAATCCATTCTAAGTTTGGGTAGAAAAGCCCCATCAAAACCACTAAAAGCATTTTTCTCTCCAGATGGGTATTGCATTCCAAAGTTCAACAGTGGGGGGGCATTTATCTCTAAAGGCATACACAAGCATGGGTCCCCCCTCAAGGCATGGACAACTGGTGTATAGATTCCTCAGGAATCTGTACACCGGTTGACTGACAGTTGTGAGGTGGGACCAATGAGCCGAAGCTCAACCCCCTGCAAGCACAACTACGCGAGTACAACTAGGAGAGTACAAGCATGGTCCCAAAGGCATGGACAAGCATGGGCCCCACGGCATGGGCAAGCATCGGCCCCTAAGGCATGGGCAAACATAGCCTTCCCCCCAAGGTAAGGCTAAACATGGCCTCGAAGGCATGGACAAGCATAGCCCCCCTCAAGATATGGACAAGCATATTCCCCCCCCCCCCCAAAGCATGGACAAGCATAGGCCCCTCATGGTATAGATGAGCATGGGCTCCCAGAGAATGGACAAGCATGTATTATTTTATCACTGCTAATATCAATATGTACACTTTTAACCACAAGGAATCATGGCAGTTCATATAATTTTGTTTCAATGAACTAATTAAAATGATAAAATCAAGATGAACCATAATGGATCTTCCCATGACGTTGTGGTCACAGCATCTTGTTGCATATCCACGGGAACAACCTCAAGAGTAACATACAAAGAACTGTACAGTACACGGGGGGTAGAAATAGCCTAAGATACTCTATCCCTTTGAGACGTATTTTCTAGTCTCAATAAACATACTTGAACTTGAACTTGTACAGTACAGTACTCACTACTGACATGTTCAAATAGTCTTCTCTATCTACCAACCTGACTTTACAAACTAAATACAGTCATCAACCCACCGACCAAACTCAACTTATTAAAACTGGCAGATCATTTGTTTTTCAACCAACTTGCCTCATAACAGCGAGACCTAATGCTTTCCTGGGCAGCCACCCAAAAGGCTCCAAGTGAGCACTATCCACTCACCCAACCTGCACCTGCACACCAACCCTGCTTCATTTTGTGTGGCATGTGGCTATCCACTCATCTTCCCTAGCATCCCTCAATCTTTTGTGTAAAATATGGAACTTTCTACAACAATATTAGCTCAGAATATAGGCAATGTGCTGATAACAGCTTGCACTGGCAGCAAACCCAAGTGGAAGCGTGTAGAGTTGAATTTTTGCAGTGAGTAGACAACTTGTTTCATATTTTGAATGTGATGCTCAACGTGAAAACGACAAAACAATGTACCAGAGGAAGGTAGCAAGAATAAAAGTAAACAAGAAATGGTAAAGGTACAGTGTGGGAGTAGTACAGATAGAAGCAGGATGAAATCCCCCCAAGAAAGTTCCAAGATAGCTGCTTATGGAGAAGGTAAAGAGTTTCCATAACAAAAAAATTAACATCACTGAGTAGTACAGTATTAGTATAGTGAGGAGTGACTTAGGCCATTAAGAAAGACCATAGTATTAAGCATATATAAAGATGTGAAGGGAGACGGAACCAGATACCGAAGCAGGTTGAGGATATTATAGCAACACAGTGGGATCAGGCGGTTATTTCCAAAGTAAATTTTTAAAGCTAATGCCATAAGTCCATACTGGTGTCAGTTGTAGATGTACACACACACACACATTGTGGCGAGAGTAATGCTACTGCCGGGCACAACCAGAATAAGGAGAGGCTCACTGGGCTGGGTCAATCCAGCTAGCATCAATAAACGCAACTTGCTTGTGAATGGAAAATGGCCAACATTCAAGAGAATTTAAAAAAAAAGAGACCAAATCTTTGTGTCATTTAAAAGGCACACAAAACTGTATGGACATCTAGACATATTTCAAGACTGGCTTGAAAATAATTTCATCCCAGAAATACATGAGCACTTAAAAAGTGTTGGTTTGCCAGACAACAGCAACGAGGAGTTAATTTTTTTATATAACAGCACATCACAACCCACACATACGATACGATACACATACAAGATGTATGTATGTACGATACACATACAAGACGTCTCAATACGCCGAGCCAATAACCAAAGTCAATCAAAAGGAGAAGCATATTAATAATAGGACTTGTCTGAACATTCACAATGACCTTTCCACTATGTTGGGAAACCATGCTGTGAATAAAAGATTTTGTTTTGCTCTTTCTCTACTAAATAATACAGCAAGAAAGTATTGATGTATTAATGTTAAAATAATAGTAAATAAAGTACTGTACAGTTATTTAAAAAATATATGGCTTTGAGCTAATATGAAAAGTTCCTTTCTCAGATATATCCTTTGACTGATAAGGTAGTCAAAGTAACCGGTAGTTAAGTATCCGCAACACACTTCATGTAGGACTTCCAAGAGGAGACCTAGACAAATTAAATCAAGATCTCTATCACCTGTTCCCAAACAGAAAGTGGCAGTACTGCTCTGGAAAGGTAGGATCCCGGTGTCATTGAAAATCAGATTATGAAGTCATTCAGGAGAGACATACATCATGAAACTCGATGGAATTTTTGAGCATCCCTACAGGGCCATATTGTGGTGACTAGGTCTCTGTAGAAATTGACCTGCCCAGCCTGAAAATGATAAAGATCATTTAAAAGCAAAAAACAAAAACTTCCAAGCAGTCACCTCGTTACACTTGTGATTGCCAAATTAGGCTGCACACTGACCTCTAATAAAGCAACATTGTGTTCACTCAAAAATGCAGTAACTTAAGCCTGCCCACATACTACCTGATGCTAAGATGGAACTCTGTGCACAGCAGATGGAGTACAGAAAAAAGGAGACACAAAAAAGGAAGGAATGTAAACAACCAAATAATACAGCTCAGAAGAGCAGTTTCCATCTTTACTCAAAACTATATTTTTGAGTTCTAACATTAAGTTGCTCCCCGATACCAATAGTTTTAAACCGACAAAGAATAAACAGAGAAACCTGTACCTCAGCTGCAAAGTAGTGCCCAATGGAGGCCTTCTAGGAGGAAATGCTACCTGACCAAGTGGAACTAGGAGTCGCACCCACGAGCACAGTCTCCAGCACCAAGGATAAATATCCTCAGCAGTTTATCCTCAGCGGAAGGATAAACTTTGAGTGAAGGTACAGAAGGCCTGCCACAGACCCCCAGTTCCAACCTTATAATAGAACACGTCAAAGAAGACAGCAGCAAGACATGCCCTCGTGTGCAAGGTTAACAAAGATAGCAAGCTTGCATTACCATTGCAAGATGCAGACCATAATGCAAGGAAGCATCTACTTCAACAATCTGTGCAGGAAATCTAAGATGGATAGGAAGCATGCAAAGGAGACATAACAAACCAACAATGAAACTTTCAAGAAACAAGACAGACTTCAACAAAGCACGAGAGAGCAAACATGGAGGCCCACCGAACCCAGCTCAGTAACACGAGAATAGGGTCCTGTGTAAAACCTATGTTGAAAAGCTTCAACCATGCCAACATTTTGACCTGCAAGAGTCATATTGGTCATGTGATGTAAGTTCCCTGCCCAAAACAGCCAAGCAAAGAAACATACTAAAGTTGCCACAGAGACGATCTCTGGCAGAGAGCCATTATAAGACCTAATTGAATTCCTCAGATTAGGCAAAATTATAATTAAATTGCATCGTGCAGTGCACTCCGCCAACACTGCACGATACGAGGCAACATTATCCGGCATAAGAGGACAGACCTGAAACAACCACGAAAGAAAGGACAAGACAACCCTATCAGAGACCGAAATACACCTACGCAGTGATAGGAACTGGAAGGACTGCCAGGAACCTCATACTGCGGCCGAGACGAAGCACGCAAGTTTGAGACCAACAACGATGCTATCTGCGCCCATACAAGTGACGAGAAACTCGAGACAAAAACCCCAGATGCGAAGACTCGAGGAGAAGAACGAATCAGCCATGTACTAAGCCAGACCGATCTGCAGAAAGAGGCGGAGCTGCACATTAAGGCACAAGACCCTTGGGTTCGGACACCGAGCAAGCAGCACCGGAAACCAAGACTAGGCCGGTCACCAAGGAGCCAGAAGGAAAACTCTCCCCTGGAAAGTCTCCAAGCAAGCCAAGACCTTGGACACCCCACGAACATGAACCACCAGGAGAGTCAAACCCCAAGAACTCAGCAGATGAGTCACCTGAAGCTACCAGTCCCAAAGAGCCAAGGACCGCACGCTTCAAACCATACAGGGTTTTTTATACGCCATTGCTCCTCGCGCCTCTCTGAGGGGGCTAGGTTCTGGCTTGTGGTTCCCGGGAGGCAAGAACTCCATGCACTTTTACTGATGCCAGAAAGCTAATAGTTACATCAGTCTGAATAGCTCCGGGAAGCGGATGGAGCTCCCCCCAGAAAAGGGAATGGACACTGTAGCTAGTAAATAGCTACATCTATAACCCTAAACTAAAACCCAACGAATGTGGATGAAGCCATGTCAGAGAGAGAGCTGAGCCACTGATGTGCATGTTGTGCAGGTGATGTGCATCACCTATATGCAAAAACAAACCAGTGAGATCACACACAAGAGACTTTAACCACATACTCATGAAGCTAACAAACACTAACTACTGAATTTTAACACAGATACACACATGTCCCACAATTCACATAAAACAAAATTTCAGTATTAAAACAATTCCATTCACCTGGGCTCTAGGAGACTAACCATGGACCCCACACGTGAGGCCGAAGCTCACATGCTTCAGGGTCATTAAGACATTATTTTATATTAAGACACAAGTTCAGCTTGACTGAAAACTGATGCCAGCTGGCAAAGCCCAATACTGCCCCCTTAGTGGTGTTGGTGGGTTTGACCAAGCAGCTCAGCCAGTAATTAGTGATGATCAACAGTCTTGCCAAAAGAAAAATTGAAAACCTGTGATTGTTTAGGGATCGACTTATGATCATTTCCAGGATGCATTCATTCATTTTTCCAGTGCCTTCCTACAACACAATATGATCTGTAGGGATGCTGGAAAATTTCCTGTGAATCCATATTGTATGCCTGAATGCACAATCTGATGTACATGGATACAGTGAGATTTTACACAAGAGGCAACCACATGTAATTACTCAAACATACCAGTAGTCAGAGTATATATAAAACAAAAAATCCAATACCCACCATGCCAGCCCATGGAATATGGGAAGCAGCAGTTGAAGAGATTGTCATACTTTGTTGTCAGCTTCTTGATAATGTCTGCTAGACTGTCTTTCTCATCACTTGAGAGGTCTGTCATGCGTATAACATGACGACGAGGAAGAATCATCGTCTCGTATGGCCACACTGCCCAATATGGAACTACCACAACCCAGTGATCATTCGTCACAACCAGTCGCTCCTGAAAATTTAAAAATAATGTCTCATAAACCTCATCAGTGCTACAGAAAAGACTTTTTTTTTTTTTACTGCAACTACAACAGGATCTATTCTTAAACCTTGACTGTAAATACAAAACAGTAATGCATTTTGCTTTTCTACTTCCCTTTAATTAACTTCATTCATATCAAAATGGTGTGAACTAGTATGAAACTCAAATGAATTTATTGATAATCAAATTATACCAAGTACAACAAAGAGAATCAAAACTTCCAACTGTCTATGATTAATGTTGTTCAGTAATAAAGTGGTGGACTCAACACTAAACAGTTCGGTCTTTCCATTTTCCTTTACAACCTTAGTACAGTACATCATTTTCCTCCTGTAAGAACAGTGGAACCTCGATTCGGTGAATCTTCAGTTGGAACACACACACATTCCATGCCACATATACTGATTCAATGAACAAGAGTTCGATGAAGCAGGGGATGTGTGGATTTGCCTAGGATGTTGGGACGAGTTCATAGATGGAGGCAACATTACAAGAAATAGCTGGGCCTTTGGGAAAGCCAATGATGCTCAGGCTGCTTCCTTGTCTCTTCCTCTGGCGACTCTGCTTCGTGTGCGTTCCCGCCTTTAAATGTTTCTGAGGGGCTCCTGGGTAATGCAGCGGTTGCTCAAGGGTTTGTGCGGGAGCCTGAACTTTGCCATGATGGTCTATTCGCCGGGTCGGATGTGGTTTCGTCGGCGGTTCTGGTTCCTTCGGGGACATCCCTTCTGCCTCTCTCACGACCACTGGGTTCAGCCTCCAGGGGCCTTGCATCGGTTGCTGTGTCGCTAGCTTCCTCTTTGGGTTTTTCAGGGTTCAGTACCTTGACGTCTACCCGAGCCCCTTGCACGATGTGTTCTGGATGCGTCGTCTCTTGGCTGGGGCTTTGTGACCAGTACTCACCAGGCTGGTCAGGGGCGGTAGGTTCCGTCCCTCCATCAGGCTCACAGCACGGTGTGGGAATTCGAGGCTGTGTGGATGTCGCTCCAGAGGATTCGAGTCTCTCGCAGATCGACAGTCCGGTTCCATTCGGACTGTTCCCTGGTGGCTCACTGCCTAAACTGCGGGGGTTCGATGCGGCCCTTGGCTCTTTGGGGCTTTTATTTCGGGTGACTCGTCTGCTGAGTTCTCGGGGTTTGGCTCTCCTGGTGGTTCACATTCAGGGGGTATCTAATGTTCTGGCGGACAGCCTGTCCCAGTTCATTCCCCTGTCCACGGAATGAACGATCGACACAGACTTGTTCCGTTGACTCTGCCGTACTTTCAGGCCTCCGGAAGTGGATCTCTGTGTGTCAGCGTGGTCAAGGCGTCTCCTGGTACACATGGCGCCCTTCCCCAACTGTGAGGCCATCAGGGTCGATGCCTTTAGGCAGGAGTGGGCGAGGTGGGGTTGCCTGTAACTCTTTTCCCCCGGTTCAGCTGTTATTCCAAGTCCTGGCTTGCTTGGAAACTTACCAGGGAAAGAGTAGTCCTTTTGGCCCCTTGGTGGCTGGCCCGGCCTTGGTTTCTGGCGCTGCTTGCTCAGTGTCTGAACCCGAGAGTCTTCCTGCGGCTCCGCCTCTTTCAAGAGATCGGTCCTGCCCATTACGAGGCTGGTTTGCTCTTCTCCCCGAGTCTTCACGTCTGGTCTTTCTGACTCGACTCTATCACCATTTGTATGGAGCGCAGGTGGCTTTGTTTGTTGGTCTCCCATCTGCATGCTTTGTCTCAATGGCAGTATAAGGTTTCCTGGAGGTCCTTCTGTTTTTCCTATTACTGCGTAGGTGTACTTTGGTCTCTGATAGGGTTTTTTGTCTTTCCTGTTGTGGTTCTTACAGAACCGTCATCTTATGCCAAATACTGTCGCCTCCTTATCATGTCACGCTGGTGGAGCCGCTCCAGCTTGTGTTCGGTATTGATGTTACGTCTGCTCCATTCCGCAGTTGTCTCATGTGTTGTTTCACCTCCGGCCTGCTCATGCGTCGCCTGAACCCTCCTGGTCCTTGGACCGAGTCTCTCTTTCCTCTCTTCTCCTCAGTTTGTGGTGGCCCCTTCAGTTCAGGATTGTTTTTCCAAGGCTCTTTTCCTGTTGGCATTGGCCTCTGGGGGTCGGGCCGGGAGCTTCATGCTCTCCTCCAGCGTAGGGGTTTCTGCTCTTTTGGTCCTGGGGGTCCTTGGGCCTGCAGCACATCAGACCCTTACTATCTTCGGGCTTAGTATTCATAGCTTTGGTTATTCATAGCTGGCATAACTACATACTTTCACTTTTAAATAGGTTTTATGTGAAATATTTTCACCCAGCATTTTATTTATAACTTAACAAATTAATAAACAAATAGCATTCACGATTTTACCATCCAAGGACATCCCACACAGACGACGAGTCACAATGACAAAGCTGAAGATACGATGTCCAAACCACACATCATAAAATGAAGAAACAACGATGTTTCAGTCCGTTTTGGATCATTATCGAGTCAGGTAATGATAATTATACAACTTGATAACGGTTCAGCATGAACTGAAACGCCGTCGCTTCTTCATTTTCTGATACATGGTTTGGTCATCATAGTCTCACAAATGTATCCCATGGATAGCAAGAATCTGCTGTACATACATACATACTGTATATACATACATATACTGTGTGTGTATATCACAAAAATAAACACGTGATTAAAAATGTGACAGTGTCAGACCACGGAGGAAAAATGAAACAGGAATTTCCTTAAGTACTTTCGTATATTAATACATCTTCAGAAGGAGTGGCACAAACAGCATTCCTTCTGAAGATGTATTAATAAATCCTTCTGAAGATGTATTAATATACGAAAGTACTTAAGGAAATTCCTGTTTCATTTTTCCTCCATGGTCTGACATTGTCATACATATACTGTATATATATAAATAAACCTCACCTCTTTTTCAAGTTCTCTGGTAACATAATCCATTAGCATTGGCCTCCCATGTTTCAAGTAGTATTCCCTTTGGTGTACATCCTTGAGTCGTGGCTCATTTGGCATGAAGGATGATGCCCAAATCTATAAATCAAGATTTGATTGTAGATAAAAAAACTAACTTTTTTGAGTGAGACACACTGTTGCTTCCTTAAACAAAGTCATGCTGTCCCCATGAAGAGGACTGTATACAAATTCCTATCCACACTTCTATAGAAATAAACATTCCATTCACCTGGACTGTATGAGGTGAATGCTCATAGCCGAGTTGATAGTGCTATGGCCCCACACGCATATGGGTCTGTGGTTCGAGACCCATATACAGTCCAGATGAATGGAAGGACTATATACAGTTTGGGCAAGTTGACATGGTGCACTGATACAATAAGATTCTTTTCAGATATTCTTGTCAGGTCATACTGGTGTAAGGAAGACACTGGAAAGTTCTCCTTCCAGCCCTGAATGATCTCTAAAAGGCGCATTCATATAAACTCCAAGCCCTTCAAGTATTACTTGGCATCAAAGGAGCTAACAAACTGCACTCTTGTTAACGACAAGTTGACCTACTCTTATCACTACGTCGAAGTGGCAGCATAAACAGTTTTTCCTGACTTTTCCCACTTCCTTCCACATCACATGAATGACCTGTATATAGCACAGGAAAATCCAGAGCACAAGGGAGGACATAGGAGCAACAAAATGGCTTGCTCAGAAAGGGGCTTTTCATCTACACTCAAAGCATAATGTCTGATTTGCATCACTTTGTTGTTTTCCAGCACCATTAATGCAGAATCCCTGGATAGGAGGCCAACGCTGATCCTCAGGAGTCAGAGGAATAACTTTGGTGACACTAGAGAAAGTCCTGTAAGCCAGATTCAGCCTAATGGGGGAATTGTCTGAAACCCCCAGTCAATCACTGAATTTCAAATGTGTGGAGGTATACCAAGAGGCATTGTGAAAATCTAGGTATAGGAACCACTAAAGGTTCAATATCGCCTGGCAAACTAGAAACATGGTTGGCATGAAGAACGTTGGACTGGGGATGTGGGCATCAAACCAGGCAAGCTAAGAATCATCCTCCACATGGGATGGGACCTCTTCACCACAGGGAAGATTTCTCAGGTGGACCTGCAGAGACTGCATCACTCCTAACAACTTTTTGTCCGACAACTCCCAAATGTGACTGCAGAGTGCCAAGGTAGGCAGAAAGCTCAAAGGGCCAAAGCCAAGAAAGACACACACAGACATTCAGCAAAACAGGTGAACAGGGGCATCAGGTACTCCATTCTGATTTAAGTCCTAAAAGGGACACCTTTCACTTTCCTTTCCCGCCATCCCATCCCAAATCCTTTTCCTGACCCCTTCCAAGTGCTATATAGTCATAATGGCTAGGCACTTTTGCCTGATAATTCCCTCCCTACCCTTCCCTTGGAAAAATAGGAAAAAGGCTTCAGTTGAAAATGTACCAACACTCTGGATAGATGATCATGTATAATCCAACACCTGCAGTACTTCCTCTTCGAAGAAAGGGGAGGAGACAGAAAGGGGAGGAGAGAGAAAGGGGAGGAGAGAGAAAGGCAAGAAGAGCAAAACAGACAACCAAGAAAGGTGAGCCATCAGGATCTATCTATCTTGAGATGATTTCGGGGCTTTTTAGTGTCCCCACGGCCCGGTCCTCGACCAGGCCTCCACCCCCAGGAAGCAGCCCATGACAGCTGACTAACACCCAGGTACCTATTTTACAGCTAGGTAACAGGGGCATAGGGTGAAAGAAACTCTGCCCATCGTTTCTCGCCGGCGCCTGGGATCGAACCCAGGACCACAGGATCACAAGTCCAGCGTGCTGTCCGCTCGGCCGACCGGCTCCAGGATGCATTATCAAGTGCTGCCAAGATTCATTAGTACATCACAGTGAATAACACAGCAGCTGAACATTAATTTCAGAAGCCTTCTTTCAAGTCAGATATTTACTATGAACCTTGATTAAAGTCTGTCTAACTTTAAAACAGTTACTGACAAGTTCAGCTCTTGACCAAAACAAAGTTATAAAATAAATACACCTTAAACCACACAGTGAAGAAAGTCCTGGGGTAAATATATCGGATCATTTCATCCCATTCTTCGGTGATGCAGCAACCATATATACTTCAGAAATATGCCCAGCACAAACACCCCACAGCCCAATAAAAAATGCCAAAAAGCCACAATAGCAATGGTTAACTCAAGAGAAAACTCTGCTCAGGCATAAACCAAACCAGTGAAGGTACCTCTGGAAAACTGGTTACTTATGATGTCTGCAGACATACAACAACAGTGTATGCATGTACATGAGAGGGGTCCACTAATAATAAAAGCCCACTGCACAATGAAACGCAAGTTTCTACGGATAAAACAAGTCATTTAACTGAGGCGTATTGGCTTTTGCCAGTCTGCAGAGCACGTGGGAATGGTTAGCAAGACTGTGAGGTGGGCAGAGTCAGCGAACCCTGTTTGCGTGTAGGTCCTGCTAGCTGGTGGAAATCTTCAGTGGAAACCAATGCCGCTTGGTAATCCCTTTAATGCCAAATAGTGCATGCATGCACTCAGTGTATATGAACGAGCCTTCTTGAGGTTATTGCAAGCTGGAATGAATATTCACCACCATTTCCACTGAACCAGTATGACCTGACAGGACTAAAAAAATATCCATGTTGCTCTGGTGCAGAATGTCAACCTCCCTGACTGTGCATGATCGTGTGTATAGTGGTTCCAACTGGCGGCCACTAAGGAAGCAACTATAGAGGCCAGATCAACAATCAAAACTAAGCAGAAATTTCCTCATTCAAGGCTGCTAAGTAATTCATTACCACTCAAGAACAAATCATCATTGTAATAAAATACTAGTGTTAAATAATTTATTGTTTATCACATATAATTATTTTTAAGTCCATTGAACTCAATTTGGTTTGCACACAATTTTGAAGATTAATTGATCTGCTTTCATAAAAGAAAAACAAAATATTACATCTACTTAATTGTAATTTGTTTAATAATCTTTGGTGAATTAAAAGGAAATCCCAATATTTGAGCAATGCATTACTTGACAATGAGGGTGAGGATTAGAGCATCCCATGACAGCTCCCTTATTCTCAAAAATCTGGACCCATATGTACTTCTTGCCCAGCTCTTCCAATTCCATGATCCACCTGCAACATATCCATCACACCATCACCTCATAATTAAATCTGTTTTGGTTGAAAATAAATTCTTTCATTAATGGAATTGAACAGATCTCATGGAATATAATGTGCAGGGGTAAATATTAAGTTCATTTGTTCATTCAAATATTAATTCAAAACACGGGAAATAAGCCAAAGAAGGAAGAAAGGAGAACTAATTATATGGAGACACCATGTATACATTAAATATGCCACCAACCTGTCTATCACCGCTCGTATCTCCTCTTGGGACATGAGTGGCAGAGTAATGTTGGTGTGAGGATGGAAACACATAACTCGGCATGTTCCTCGAGCTTGGCTCGCACGGAATAGTGGGTCATCGCTTTCTGGTGGGGATGGTACATCTTCCAGTAGTGCCGGAAAATCATTGGTGAAGACAAATGTCGACTCATAATCAGGGTTGACCTGATGAAACAATTTAGTTGCACAGTTAGTAAATAACATCAACCCATTTAATAATTAATTCATTGTTTCGGGGATCAGAAAGTCAAGAGTGTATTCATACACGTTAGGCTTATATCGAGGTCACCCTCCCTTCCCGGTCGAATTACCGATCCTGCCCAGGATGCCACACCACAAGCTGACTAACTACTGAGTACCTACTAGCTGCTTGATGAAGCAAGTAGATATAAGTAGGTACTATCAAGCCATTAGGTGATAGGAAGTGTACCCAGCCATTTCTGTCCCTCCCGGGATTCGAACCCGGAATTCTCAATTGTGCGTCGAGAACGAACCCAACTTAATTTTATAAAATACATCCAGCTGCAATTTAACCTCTGCCTATTCAAACCAACCTTTGAATAGTGGCTTTAGGCATTGTATATACTAGCCCTATCTATAAATCCATCATTCTTTGTAAAATCTCTTGTATGTATGTACCTTACCTAAATAAACATTTATTTATTTATATTTTTATAACCAACCAATAAATCTTTTACCAACCCACCTCATCATGACAAGCAGTTTAAGTTTCCTGGCCAGTTGCCCAAGGCGCCACAACAGTGCGCCACACCAGTTTTGTTTTATTATTATATACAGCACCCCATACACCTCTTTAGGTAGGATTTGTAGTAACAATGAGGACCATTGTATATACACTGACGTAAAAGGAAATTGGAAAGTAGAAATCGGTATTACTGAATTTGGACAAACCGAAAAAGTTTGTATACAGATGTTAGAAAGAAAACTTAACCTAACTTAACATTCTTAGGCCTAATACATGCTATCTGATGCCTAATATAGTACATATATGTGCTATATTAGGCCTAGTTTTAAAGTTTGTTTTTTAGCTTTATTATTTTTTAGACTATAAAGTGAATACAGTACTGTAGTACCAAATTCCACTATCTAATTGTTCATTACACCTATATATGTACAATGGTTCACATAGTTACAAAGAGTACTATCTAGCAGGAGGATGGGTTGTATACAGACATTCGATGTTCGTCTCCAGTCACATTCCTTGATATTTTGTTGAAAACAATGTTCCTGCCACCATATTTTCCAGAAGGACATAGCTGCTCTGGAGAAGGTGCAGCATCGGGCAACAAAAGTCATTTCAGAGCCAAGTCACCTCTCATATTAGGAACGCTTGAAAGCCACAAGGCTAACAACACTGCAAACCAGGCATGACAGAGCAGATCTCATCGAAACTTAAAATACTGGACAAGTTAGAGGATGTTGATCCGGATATTTTCTTCAGAAGGTCAGATGTAACACAAACAAGGAGCAACAGTTTCAAACTCAACAAGCCACAATGTAGGACTGAAAATCGGGGATGCTTTTTCACCCACAGGTTTATTAACTCATGGAACTGCCTACCCGCCAAAGCCGTAACTGCCAAAACTGTGCCGAGTTTAAAAATACACAGTACCAGGAAAAGATCATCAAAGATCATCAAATGGGGGGGGAGAACTTCAACAAGCCGTCAGCTTTCTGTCCTTCTTGAGGCCTGGTCGATGACCAGGAGGCCTGGTCGACGACCGGGCCGCGGGGACGCTAAGCCCCGGAAGCACCTCAAGGTAACCTCAAGGTAAGGTAAGCCACTATGATTAGTGGCATCAGGTAAGTAACAGCTGAAAATACAGGAAATGTGTGAAAAAGTTCAGAAAGTAAAGCTAATTAAGTGGAGAATGGTAAATAGATTTCTGTATTAATACACTGGTGGTAATTTTTTTTTTTTTTTTTACAGGAAGGAGGGAATTGAAGGCTTAACTTAATTTTTGATGTGTTCTCCTCACAGGGAGGGTGATGTCACAATGCACGAGAGGAAGGTAGTAAATCAGGCAGTACTGATGAAGTGTTTGAGTCGTTCAGGGTGGAGGCAGGATGGAGGAAATATAAACACTGTGCCAGGAATGCTGCTCATTAAAAAGCAAAAGTTTCCCATACAAAAATCAACAAAACCAAGTAGTGAATGGTTCAGGACGGACCAAAACGTCGTCATCCCTTCACTTTCTAGTGTGTAGTTTGGTTATCTTGAGGTTATCTTGAGGTTATCTTGAGATGATTTCGAGGCTTTTTAGTGTCCCCGCGGCTCAGTCCTCGACCAGACCTCCACCCCCAGGAAGCAGCCCGTGACAGCTGACTAACACCCAGGTACCTATTTTACTGCTAGGTAACAGGGGCATAGGGTGAAAAACTTTGCCCATTGTTTCTCGCCGGCGCCTGGGATCGAACCCAGGACCACAGGATCACAAGTCCCGCGTGCTGTCCGCTCGGCCGACCGGCTCCCCAGCTGGATGTAACTGGATGTCTTGAGTGGGAGCACAGTATATAAGAACCTAAGTAGAGAGCCTGTTGACCCATTCTGGGTGGTGCTTATTCCTATCAAATCCATCTTCCCCCATGTACCTATATAGCCTACCCTATTTTTAAAGCTAGCTGTACTATTTGCCTCAATGATGTTGACTAACAACACAAAAAAGAAAACAGAAAAAGGGCAATCTGGGCCATGCAAAGCAGCTCCAATTTATATCCACCCAACACCTAGTACCGTTGACTTCATTTTCAACTCGCAATCAGAGATCCCGAGTTCGATTTCTAGGCAGGAGAGAAATGGTTGGGCACATCTCCCTTCACCTAATGCCTCTATTCATGTAGCAGGAGATAGGTACCCAGGAGTTAGGCAAATGCTTTGGGGTTGCAAATGTGTTCATTTATAAATAATGATTTCCTTAAGTATATTCTGAATTTGCTGTTCACTATGGCATTAAGTAACAAATTATTCATTCTGCAAAAGTTATTGAAACTAACACACTTTGAACAAAATAAAATGCTTACAAAATAAGATAAATTGATTTTCCTGATGCAAAATAAACGTTAAAATATACAGTACGATAATTTATTCGAGTCTAACCTGACCACCGGGTCTAGTGACCCTAGGACAAAGAGGATTCTCTGGATCGTGAGTTGGGATATCCTCCTCGGTGGGCTTTTCCACTTGACCTGCCCACGGCCTCTTCATGCGATGGGGAGAAACGAGTACCCAGTCACCTCGAAGAGGGTTGAACCTCACATGCTGGTGTTCTGTATAAATGATAAATATCTGATTTGTTGTATAATACTCTGACAAGTGAGGTGTGTCAGATTAGAGCACCATGTTTTTTATGAGTGCTCTGGTACTCCTCTGGCCCTACGAGTGTCCCTGGTACTCCTCTGAGTGTCCCTGGTACTCCTGTGACCCTATGAGTGTCCCTGGTACTCCTGTGACCCTATGAGTGTCCCTGGTACTCCTCTGACCCTACGAGTGTCCCTGGTACTCCTGTGACCCTATGAGTGTCCCTGGTACTCCTGTGACCCTATGAGTGTCCCTGGTACTCCTCTGGCCCTACGAGTGTCCCTGGTACTCCTCTGAGTGTCCCTGGTACTCCTGTGACCCTATGAGTGTCCCTGGTACTCCTCTGACCCTACGAGTGTCCCTGGTACTCCTCTGACCCTATGAGTGCCCTAGTACTCCTGTGACCCTACGAGTGCCCTAGCACTAAATGACCCTCCCTGGTACACACAGTCAAGAGTACCAGGGAGGGTCAACTAGTGATTAGTGAGAGCACTACTTGGTGGTCCCTGTGATGTCAAGTATCACATGGAAGGGCTTTCAGCTTGACTCTGCCTTCTTGACTTTTTGGGACTAGATTAAGTATTCTCTATTGCCTCTCATACACCATTATACCCCAGCAGGGACATCTGAAAAAAAAGTCCTGCTACATTGGTAAAGAATGTCATCCTGCCGTAACTGAGCATGATGGAGTATAGGGGTGGGCGGCAGGATCTTATGTAACGGAGTATCCAAGTGAAATACTGTTGCTCAAGAAATAGAAAATTATTTTATAATTCAAGCTTTATATTCCTGAAAAGTGTATGCCAAAGCCAAAGCTCAACAGTTTTTTTTATTTAATTCAAGTAGTTCATGACAAAATTTTGAAGGGTATTAGTGTTTCAAATGTATAAGATAGGTTTGAAAACATCCCTCCTTCACAGACACCCATCAACAAATATCACGATCTTACCAGTTGGCTCAAAATTCATTGCCGATTCTCCAGTTGGTGCCGAGCCTTGTTGTGGAACTGAAAGTACTGTACTGTTATACACAAGTTAATACCGCATGATGAACTGGGTGTCGTGTTTCACGTTCTCAACCAGGTGGGGAACGCATGACGGCCAGCCTCTCTGCCCTCTTATCTGTTAACATATCAGGAGATAAAGGTACTGTTGAGACTCAGATTATTTTTTAATGGAGCTAGGTCAATAAAGTTTATTATATACAAACTGTAATCAAATTTATAAAAAATATTCAGTATTGTATAACCCAAATTTCCTAAGGAGTATCTTCTATACTTGCACTAAATTTAATGTTGTAATTATATATTAACCAATATTTTTTTTATATATTATTTTACACAATTTTTAAGTGTTATTTACAAACTGTAGTTTCAGTTTGGCTACCAGTTTGGCTACCAGTTTGGCTACCAGTTTGGCTACCAGTTTGGCTACCAGGCTACCAGTCCCCAACAACATGAATCCATTCAACACATCCTCTATCACCATAAGCCAAAAAGGACTATTTTGCAGCCCTAATTACCATTACATGAAATTTTAGTTGGAAAAATGCACTAAGTACTGTATCATGCTCGAGCTCTGCATCTGCCACAAAAGGGAATACTGTACTGTAGCATACCAGTATATCAGCTAGTCATACACTAACTAGTGTGGTATACATCCAAATCATACACAGTCATTTCTATACAACTCATTTTGAATGTATGTACTTTTACCTGAATAAACATTATTATCATTATTATTATTATTATTATTATTATTTGTGGTAGCCAGGTAGTCTGGTAGCACGGTACTGTACTCGTGGTAGTCTTATACCTGTACTAGCCTGTTAGTCGTGGTAGTCTGGTAGTTGTGGTAGTTGGGTAGTTGTGGTAGCCTGATAGTCGTGGTAGTCTGGTAGTTGTGGTAGTTGGGTAGTTGTGGTAGCCTGATAGTCGTGGTAGTCTGGTAGTTGTGGTAGTTGGGTAGTTGTGGTAGTCATGGTAGTCTGGTAGTTGGGTAGTTGTGATAGTTTGGTAGTCGTGGTAGTCTGATACCTGTGGTAGACTGTCTGGTAGTTATGGTAGTCTGGTAGTCGTGGTAGTCTGGTAGTTATGAGACTGATCCACTCTGGGCCAACAATCGCTCATTCTCCCTATAGTTCTCATTTACCTCACCCTCTCATCTTCCTCATGTCCTCACTCTCTCATCTTCCTCACAGTCCTTCACTATCACGCCACAACAACGGTGACAGAGGTGAGTGTTGTAGGGAGACTAGGACACCGTAGGGCGGTGTGTTGTGTTTACGGCGTCAGCTGATCCATGGTGCTGCCACGGGCGGTTACTTTCCTGTTGGGGGCGCCAAGTATAAATGTTACAGACAATTTTGACTTATTAAATACGTACATATGTGACATACTAAACATACTAGTTTACATTGAAAAGCTTCATAGAAAACACCGACCTTACCTAACCTTCTTAGTATGTTAAGATAAGCATCTTATTGCTTCGTAATTACAATTATTACTTAACCTATACCTATAATAGGTTAAGTAATAATTGTATTAATTAAGTAATAATTATTAATTAAGTAATAATTATTAATAACTACAATTATTACTTAACCTATACCTATAATAGGTTAAGTAATAATTGTAATTACGAAGCAATAAGATGCTTATCTTAACATACTAAGAAGGTTAGGTAAGGTCGGTGGTTTCTATGAAGCTTTTCAAGGTAAACTAGTATGTTTAATATGTCACATATGCACGTTTTAATAAGTCAATATTGACTGTACGAAAGTGCGAGAACGGGTTGCAAAATGTGGCGATGTGACCCACGGGAGACATCTCCCGTCACGCAGGGTGCAGTCGCACCTCCACAGATCTCCAGTATCATCTATTGATACTGGTAATACTGGTAATGGCTCAAAAGGGCCACCACTTACGGGCTATTCATGCCCGTGCCACCTCTTGGGTGGCTTAATCTTTATCAATCTTTTATCGATGTGACCCACACCACATCAATACATCATATAAATTGGTTTCATCAATGATCTATGAATTTTCTTAGGAGAATCTAAATTGTCTTCAGCAGCAGCACTTTGAGAAAGCATTCCATTGCTCTAAAATCATGTACCAAAATATGGCTTTTTACATAATGTAGAGCCCACGGTACAGCTTCAAATTGTACCCTTTTGGTATAATTGTACTGGAGGATGCAGCACTACTGCCCGTCATACTATATAATAGATATGAATCCTCTTCAAAACATACAAAATCAATTCCAAAGTTAATCCCTAACATCACGAAAACTCCTTACGAAGATAGAGTAATTAAATTAATTAATTATGTTAATTTAAAATTGATGAGCAATGACGTCACTTTCTCTTGAGAGGAGTAAATAAAGAGGATGCAAATGGGGGGCTGAAAAAGATGTAGACAAAACTCGATTACATTAAAATTAATAAAAATAATAGAATTAAGAATTATAAGGGTACCTAAGCATTCCTTGGCTGCAGAGTGGTGGACGAATGGAACAATCCGCCAAATTGTGCCAGTGGAACGAAGTCATGATAAACTTTAGGAATAGGCTGGTGTGGAAAGAAGTGTTGAAACATTACTTACCTTCCATGGATCAATAGGCTTCTTGCACTATCCCATAACGCTTAAAAAAGGGAAATTAAGCTTCATTAGGCTACCTAATGAAGCTTAATTCTACCTTCTTCTTTAGGCTTCCTATGACATTTTGAAAGGAAAGTTTATTGAGTAAATACACATACGAAGCTAAGCAGCCCCAAAAGTAAAGGTCACAAGGGATATGGGGTTTACAAGACCTTATTCATGCAGCACGCTATGGGAGAGTGTAAATAGATTTATCCTCTGGGGCACTCCTTTCATCCAGGCCCTGCTCTGGCAAAGGCTTTGGTAATAAATAGCTCTCTCATTCACATGCTTAACACTTTCGCTCACCCCGCGCGCCACCCCTCAACTGTGCGATATGGGACCCAGGGTGTCACGGGAGCGCGCGTAAATTCTGAAAAGTGTATACTCTCTTCAACTTTGTCACCTTAATTCTCGTCCTACGAGATTAAATTTGGTATCATTGTGTTCGCAATAGAATTCTCTACAGCACTAAATGCATATAAACTCCAAAAGCCCGGCTAATTACCCGCAGCAAACAGAGAAAGTGCGAACGAGTTACCCAGGAGCGCGCAAACGCGATAAAATGTTTTCACTATTTTCACTCTGGTCACCTCAATTTTTGTCCTAGGTCTTTCATTTTGGTCTCAATGGGTTCGCAATAGAATTCTCTAGAGGAACATTTGCATATAAAATATAAAACCTGGTCACGCTCCAACCGCCGACGAGTTGAAGACGGGCCACGCGTTAGCCGCGAGTGAGCGCTCAGACGCCTTCCAGCTACACTCCCAATTCCCTCCCTTTTCAAGCCTTTCTTTCGCAATTTTCTTCCTGGAAGGGCCTTGTTCATGATCACTATCCATCGTGGAGTAAGGGTAGATAGTTTCTAAAGCCGCAGTAAGAAATATAGCCACGGAAAATAGCCGAAATGTTCACACGTTTGAGATGCGAGGGGAGGCGACATTGGTCACAACAGTGGAGCGAAAACAATGGGCCCACGGCGTGTGCCAAGCCACCTGAGGGCCACGAGGCTCAACAAAGAAAATGGGAAGACATCGGCGCACATTTTAAAACCAGTCCCAAAAAAATCGGATAAAAACCTGATTTTTGGCGATTATTTAAAGTGGATGACGCAATGCTGCGTCATCCCCGGTATTACCGACAGTAAACGGATGACGCAATGCTGCGTCATGCCCGGGCGAAAGTGTTAACTCGCCACCACCTTCTCTCCTCCACTTTTCTTTCCAACTTTATCCTCTCTCCCCTTCCTTTTTCTCCACCTTTCTTCTCCATTCTCCTCACCACCCATATCCAGATCACCCCCCCTGTCTCCTCTCTTTTTCTTCCTTCTTCCTCTCTTATTTCCCGTCTGGCTTCCAACCTTGAAGAGACAGATATTTCAATCTCTCTCTCTCTCTCTCTCTCTCTCTCTCTCTCTCTCTCTCTCTCTCTCTCTCTCTCTCTCTCTCTCTCTCTCTCTCTCTCTCTCTCTCTCTCTCTCTCTCTCTCTCTCTCTCTCTCTCTCTCCCCCCCCTCTCTTTATTTACTTATTTATACAAAAATAAACATACATTAAAGTTCAGTTGATGATATAAAAACAGCTAAATAAATGATACATGGTGGGAGCCGCACCATTGAAAAGTTTATAGCGACCACAAAAACTTGACGAGCAGGGCGGGGCGGGTCAGACATCTTCAGACAAGACCTATTCTTCTTGTTCTTCACGTAAAAGTAATTATTCATCAATTAAACCTCAGGAAATAAGAGCCTGAAACTTCAGTAAATGTCGTCATATTTCTGCATTTTGATCGTTCTAAATATTGTTTTTTATCCGTGGAAACTCATTGATATCCATTGTTTGACGGGTGTTGTAGCCTACTGACATTCAAGATGCTATTCATTATTACTTTAAATCGTATATATCAGAGTAAAAAATTATTCCAGAGGGCAATTTAATACAAATTATTAAGGGCAAAGATACTCTATGCTTTATTCCTTGTGGTGTTATCACAAAACACTCACGTTGTATGACTTACATAATATGTTGTATTTTGTGTTAATTGTATACTTTTTAATTGTTAATTTGTGTTAATTGTATACTCTGAATTGGGAGATGAAGGAATATTCTCTGCCCTCTGTGCCGTGAGGTTACCTGTGATAGAGGTAACTGCGATAGATCGATAGATCACTTCACATTGACATAGTTACCTTGAGAAGTAATAACCATCATATGAAATTGTATCGGAAGGTAAGCGAAACTTTTATAAATTATGAAATATAACGATTACTGGTCAAATTAATTATACATACACAACAATTTGTTAATAACGATAGGGTTTGATAAAGCTAGGCTAGATGAGGCTGTTAGCTTTCCACACAAAACTTGTTAAAAAATTAATAAATTTTCTACTGTATTATACAAATAAAACAAATTATATTTCTTGAATACATTATATATCTACTGCAAGTAATGCAGGAAACCAGTGAGTATCAACTTATAAGTATTTTATACAATTCTACATGAACTTAGACATACCTCAAGAGAGGACGAACCCCGAAGTATCGTAGAACGATTTACCCGCCTCGATACGCATCAATGACCAGGAATTTCATAACCAATAATGAGCTTATCTCTATTCTTGACAAGTCTGCAGACATTGACTCTACGCCATATTTTTAAGAGCACCGGCGCGGTCGTGAGAAATATTGATATTACTCCTACAAACTGAGCGTAATGATCATATTGATCGTATGGTGAACGTTCATACACAGCAGGCGATCATTTCTGCATGATAGACAGCACAAATCTCATAGTACCATGTTGGGGGGAGAGGGAATTATCACGTCTTTAGTCATAATGTCCCGGGTTCGATTCCCCCCTAGCAGTAAACATGTAGCCGCGGGAATTATAGGGTTCTATTGTGGGTTGTTGCATCCTGATAAAGGTCAGTCGTTGACCTATGGGGGGTTGGGGGTTTTCAACCGGGGTGGAAATTGAATATTCCAGAGGATGGGGATGTTACAAATGAACAAATCCACAAGGGCCGTGACGAGGATTCGAACCTGCGTCCGGGAGCATCCCAGACACTGCCTTAATGTTATTAGTGGCTAATAGAATATCTAATCTAATATCTAAAGGTAAATATATAATGGCGAAGTATGTTTTATTTAAATTAAACTTATGTTGATTCATATATGGAAACATGAAGCCTGACAAGGAATTTATAGGAGGGAGTTTCTTGTCCCCAACAATGACAAACCATTAGATTGTTTTTGAATTTGAATTTGAATTAAGCACTTGTCTCAGAATAATTAATTTAGCAGCTCCTTATGAAATAATTAAGTCGTAGCAGTCTCAAAATAATATTTTAGAAGTCGTTAAAAAAAATATGGATTTAGCTGTTGTCTCAAAATGATTCATTTGGCAATTGTCTCAGAATGAAATACTAAAAGCATGCATGGGTGAACAGTAAAATTAAAATGAATCAAATCAATTCCAGAACGTCTGAAAATCTCTCCCAAACAATCACAGCTCCCCATTCGTGGGTTATTGATATGCAAAGAGTTCCAAACTTCTTTATTCAAGCCGCCTGACCTATTAATATCAATAAATTACTCCCCCAAAAAAGTAGGAAGGCGAGACCAGGAGCTACACTCCAGTTTAATCCGTTAAC